TCATCCTTAAGCACCTTGGGATTTCTTTTACACGCACCAAGGCATGGACAAAAGCAGATTCTCCTTTAACTTTTTGTCTACTACCCTTTTGCACAGACCTCCTTACAATCAAGAACATCATCACTTAGCAAGATCGGATGTTCCAAATATGTGATGACACACATTTCTTGGACCTTAAGCAAAAACAAAACCTCCCTTGAGCATAAGAATAACTATGGTTATTTGACACAGCTACCTACAAAGGAGGATCAAACAGAGTTCCAGAAGAGTGGTCTTTTGGTCCACCAGAGAAACTGGATCTTCCAATTCTAACTCCCCCATGCTCTTGACATAATTCTTGAACAACTCATCCCATCATGAAGGATTTCTCTATCTTAATAGAACAAGAGTTCCATGCTCTCATAGGTTTGAAACTTATATTCAAGTTTGAGTTAGCAACCTCCATCCTGCTTTGAGAAAAACAACAACCAGTCTTCTGAAAAACCATCTTGATCAATTGCTTCTTTAAGTTCCTTTCTTCAATGTAATCATCTATACCACAGACTATTTTAAGAGTATCCACAAGCAGGTTCACACGAATCTGGCTTCTTATGAGCATAAGAGTCAAGATATCTGAGAAAATATTAGATTTTGACCCCCATATAGTCTGGTTGAGATGCCTTTAACAGTCCTCCACTAGGAATTACAACACATACTCCTATAGGAGATACTGGAACAAAGCTTATGCACCCTTATGCGCTTAGATCAGAAATAAACAGACCTAAGGAATGTTCATCAAGATAATCATTTGTTAATCTTCACTTCCATCAGCACACCTATCCATAACAAGTTTCTTGGATAGAGACTTCCTAGACTGCAAACAAAATGTCTCCTCAAGTCCAATCTGAAAAAGATTCCCAACACTTTTGATCAAAACACATTTGTTTATCAACCAGAGCAAATGTTACATCACTCCTTTGTACATGAATTTCACTCCTTAGATAAACAAGATTCTACACATACTCTTCTGGAATGATGTTTTAACATCTGGTTGAACATCAGTTCCTTTTCCAATAAACAGATAATTGAAATTGGTTCTTGAGTTTTTGCAACTGTTTGAAACTGCACCTACTGGTGTGACATCATCTTTCTTGAACACCAAGCAAAAGGATAATCAATTAAATCCTTACTAAGGAAACAAATGGAAATTAATTTTAAATTTAAATTCTGAATTTTTTGGTCACCAAATGTCATAAGACTCCCCTTTAGCTAGAGAATCCTGATATGATTACAATATTAACATCCATGACTCAACTTACTTCTTGATACACAACCTCTTGACAGATCAGTGTTCTCAAGGAAGACCATATCCTTTGATAATCATGATCACTTTAAAAGAGTTAGAAACCTCATGTAGTTGCTCTTGAAATCAGTAGGAAGAATTTCTCCACAAACATCCAACTTTTTCACACTTATAAGAATGCTTGGACATTGATCAGTTTTTACTCCAGTTTCAGCCTAGTTGAATGTCAGTGCTGACATTTGAACAACCGTATCGTTCCTTATTTTCTATTTCAGAATAGACTACCTTCCAAGAATTCTGATAGGAACTCTACAAACATAGACAATCTCTTATAGGGTTGGGAGCAAAAATAAATTGCTCATGTCTTTCTTCAATGGTATGACATTCTCATGTCACACTTCTTAAAAGAAATACTCATTGATCTTCTTCTTGATCATCTTCTCTTCTGAAATCTATTTATCAAACACATTCAGAAGTGCCTTTATGAGTGGACTTGAGAGAAAACTCAAGTATCTTGAGCTACTTTAGACGTGACATAAAATGTTTACCAAATCCATAGATCGTGAATTTGATAAACAAGACCTCAAATTAACCTTTATCCTCCAATTACCCTTTAAGGTATTTGGTTGAAACTATCTTCCAAGCAACATAGAAAGATCCTTCAGTGGAAGCCAGATTATAATGCTCTCTTCTTTATATTACTCCCAGATTGTGATGGCATGAACATCTAAAGAGGATGGCACCATCTTCAACAAGCTCCAAGTAAGATGTCATAACATCTTATAAGGCATCATGCGTAACAATAACACATTATTAGCAGCAGCGGTAAAATCCTCACAGAAGAAACAGTCAACCATCGGTAGTTGTCAGGCTAGATTCAAAAAGCTATCATCCTAGCTTCCCATCCCCTTAAACACAACAGTAATGGATGGTCTGATCATACAATCTCCTTCCTTGTTCAAAAGACCAGAAAGTATCTTCCCTAGAACTCATCCAGAAACAGAACATAATGCCTGCTCTGATACCAATTGAAATTCTGGTATGCAGATCTCATATATCCTAAGAGATGTCGAGACATTGATCTCTGCTTAACTAAACAAGGGCAGAACAAGAATATTCTGATATCTCAAGATCAAAACATAGTCATGACAGTTGTTACAACATCTGTTAAGACATATATTTTAATACATAAGAATATACTGAATTATACAACAGAATGATAAATAACACCAAGATATGATGATCCAGTTTGGTGTACAACAACACCTACATCAGGAGGCTACTAAGCCAGGAATGAATTCACTATCAGTAGTATTAATTCTAAGTATACAACCTCTGGTAACTTATCACTTAATTTCCTACCCAGTGAAACTTCTACCTAGAAACCCATCTCAATTTCTAAATCACCTCATTGATATCTAATAGTCACAACCTCCGGTGACTGTATCAAACTGTTCAATTGAAAGACAACCCTTTCAACATAATATTCAATCAATACTCTTAACTAACATAAATACTTGAATTTTCTTAAAATCTTCATCCAAGAACAACATACAATTCAATGCCTACAGGTTTCTGAATATGAAAAACTATGTCTACCACAATGTATCAAACCGATATAAAGGTGACTTACAATACAAGAAAAACACATGACTCTCAAAACCCTAAACCCTTATTTTACTTTACAAAAGTCTTAACAAGGACTAGTGATTTGCCTTAGGCCTTAGTCTTCCTTTTATAATCTTCTATTGTCCATGGGCTTCAACATCTCTGTCCAATCATTTCTTGATCCATGTTCTGATTGCGCCTTAAATCTTAGAACAGATCTGCAACAAACCTGTTTTATCATACCAAGATGTCGAGTCCTCAAAATATGACATCTTATCCAACATGTTGTTCTTTACAGATTTCTTCATGTTAGAACATCTTATTGAACATCATATTTTATCAAAATTTAGTCAAAACTTACAACCTTCAACAAGAAATGATGTTCCCGTCCAAGGGTCTGCTTCATTTATAAAATCTATATATTAATGATTGTTTATAATTTTCATATATCTTTTCAAGATTTTACATAAATTAATTATGCATTTAGTTTATAAACTAATATAATATATAATATTACACATAAATAGGCTGGTCTGAGAGGTCTAATAGATATTTCTATAACCTTAACCTAACCTATTTTAATTGATAGACTTTTAAAATTCTTGAGTCTAGTATTTTTATCAAACGAGATAGATCAAGCCTAGTTTTAAATATACAACATCATAGGCCCTCGGCGAACTTCCTAACTATTCCCTCTCCTGTTTTTTATGGTTACAATATCAAATTGATTTAGACTTTATGCAGTGAGACCGACTTTTATCAAAATTAATTAATTTTAAATTAAAAATCATGATAGTATAAAGAAAATATGAATAATGATTAATAAAATCTAATCTATAACAAAAAAAATATTTTTTATTTTTAAATGCTTTTCGAAATATGATCTTTTGAGATAATCTCGTGTTTTTTATTTCTTTATCTCAAATGTGAGTATTTAAAGAAAAACAAAGACCTATTTTTTAAAATATAAAATTGGAAGATTTGAAATTATTCTTAAAAAAATGTGGGACTCATGAGCTATTTACAATAGTCTGATAGGCAATTTAAGCTTTATCCATTAAAATCATAAAGTCAAACCCTTACCACTTAACTTACATATCATGGACAATTCAAGAGTTAAGGATGAAACACTACCAAACAAATAATTTATTACTCCTAAAGTAAAAAATATGATACTTTTTTGGATTAATAGGTATTTTGTTCTGTGCTATATAGACGAGTTTTAAAAAGAAAAAAATCTTATGAAAAAGTTTGATTCGCTTCCTGAAATATGAACATTTTCCTGTTTTGCTCCCTTAATAAATTTAATCATAAAAAATAATTACATGTTAAAGGGGTTTGTCAAAAAACCCAAATTTAACAGAGAACAATATATATATATATATATATATATATATATATATATATATATATATATATATATATATATATATATATATATATATATATATATATATATATATATATATATATATATATATATATATATATATATATATATATATATATATATATATATATATATATATAAATTCTTAACAATTAAATAATATTTAATAAATTTTTAATGGATAAATTTTTTGAGGGGCAAAACAGAATAATTTTCATATGGCAAGGGTGAATTCAAACTTTTTTTACATGTTTTTTTCTTCCAAAATTAGCCTATATAGGTGAGGCAAAATATCTATTGACCTTACTTTTTTATTTTTTACAATCAATATGACGCATCCTACAATTAAAAGAAAATATTTTTTATTCAACTCTCATTAAATATTTAAGTACAATTTATAATGTTAATTTTGTATTTATCTTAATAATAAAGAAAATCATATTTAAAATAATCCAAAGAATTGAAAAGTTAATCAATAAGTCCTTTTTTTAAATAATATTTTATCTAGTCAAACATTTATTAATCCTTTACTTTTTTTTTACTAAATATAATTTAATTTTTGGTTTAGAAAAAAGTATGCATTAAATGGACAAATAAATATTGAGCAAAACATTGAATTTCTCTATTTTATTTTACTTCTCAATTTCTTTCATAAATTTCAGTTACATATCCTTTATATATATCATTCATATTTTACTTTGAAAAAAAATAATAGAAGTCATGGCAAGAATTAAAAAAAGGAAGATCACATCTAAATTGATTGAGAATTTTAGTAAAAGAAAAATGTGTTATAAGACAAGATTAAAAGGGTTGTTCACTAAAATGGAGCAGGTGACAACCCTTTGTGATGTTCAGGCATGTGCGGTTGTGTTTGGCCCAGGAGATACAACACCTTCAATGTGGCCATCTCGTGATGCAGCTGAAAAACTTATACACGAATTTGATTCGATGCCAGAATATGTACGATTCAAAAATGTGACTGATCAATTGTCTTTTTTGAAGGAAAAAGGTAAAAAACTTCAAGCTACCCTTGACAAGATCAAGGAAGATAACGAAGATACACTAATGGGATCTTACCTGTATCAAATTGAAAATGAAGGTAAGCCTTTAAGTGATTTTCAGCCTAGTGTGTTGAATCGCTTAATTAATTTTATGCTAAAAAAGTATAAGTTATTTAGTCATAGAGTAGAGAATTATGAAGAGGATGTGTCCTATCTTAACAATCCATCTCCACCACGGCTTCCTCCAATTTCTTGTTCGACAGATTATGAGATAAATAGAAATGAACAAATGTTGAACCAACAACCATTGTTAGATTTGGTTACCCAAAGTGATCGAATGATTAGTGATTTTGATAACAGTATTTGCAGTAGCATGAGGCCATCACCACATGAAAATCTTAATAATGGTGATATGTTGGGTTATCAAAACGACTTTGAAGTTTTTGGAGGCTTCAATAACAATGCAGGTGTTGGTGATATGTTGGCTTATCAAAGCGAGTTTGACGTTTTTGGAGGCTTCCATAACATAAGGGTACCACCACATGAATGTCTCAGTGGTGGTGATAACATGTTTCTGACTCAAGGAAACCTTGGAGGTTTCGATAGCCATACAAGTGGTGGTGTTGGCATGAGTCTAGCTCTTGAAAATTTTGAAGGTTTTAACAATATTGGTAACACTACACCACATGAAAATCACAGTGTTGGAGATAATATGGTGATTCCACAAGGAGATTTACAAGGCTTATATAACAATGACATAGGAATAACCCCATATTTAAACCCTAATGTTAGGGTTGGTGAGGTGTATCCTGAAAGAAAATTTGAGGATTTTAATGGCGAAGATTTCGAAGGCTTTGAGGCATTTCCTCTTAACACGTTTGGAATTCATAATGAAGCTATCCCTACCAATGATGGAAGAGGCATGGATATGTCAATGCCTTTGAACTTCTATGAAGACAACAACAACGGAAGATATATGGGAAGTTTCAATGGAAATTTTGGTAACATTAACTATGGAAACAATTTCAACAATAGATTTCTCTAAGAAATTTTATTTCTAGCAACAACAATGACAGATTTGATGTTGAAGTGCCTATATCATTTAGAAGAAACAGTTCTAAAAATTGATATTGGTGACTTATCTCAAGTTTTATTAGATGTGATTGTTTTTATGAATTATTTATAATTTTAACACTCTCTCTCTCATATTTTAATGCTATATATATATATATATATATATATATATATATATATATATATATATATATATATATATATATATATATATATATATATATATATATATATATATATATATATATATATATATATATATATATATATATATATATATATATATATATATATATATATATATATATATATATATATATATATATATATATATATATATATATATATATATATATATATATATATATATATATATATATTCACAAGAGCAACAACCAGTTGTATGTGCAACAATTTAACAATACCTTTTTAATAATGAACATTTTTGTTTTGATATTTTATTATATAACTACTACAATAAAAAACGTTTTTTATGACAAAATTTTGTCCTCGAACAGTAGAAAATTGAGTTATAAAGTCAATGCGCGTTATTTTTTATTATTTAAAAATAAATAAAAAACATCAATTATCTCAGTTTTTAAAATAACCGAGGTGAAAAAACAATTCAGTACAAATTTTGATTCAGCTATTGCAATTTATGATTTTATTAGTTTATAAATGTAAAATGTTCTAACCGTTCAGTTTTTTATTTAACCGAGATATAAAATTATAAGATTTTACTATAAAAACACTCGTTAAACAGATTTTACCCTAATCCTTACTTATATGAGGTCGCGTCAAACTCACAAGCATCATTCTTTGGATTAGATTGCAAGACAACAAAAAATCTTCAATGTTCTTCTATCTTGAACAAAACATTTTTTCTGCCCTTGCAATATATCTCACATAATAGTGTTGATGTTGTCGTTGTTGTATTTTTTGAAATAATCTTCAATTAAAGAAGGGTACTCAGTTGATAGATTGCATGTGCAGAAAAACTTTATTGCTTCAAGTTACCTAAAGAAAGGAGATTAACCAATAATGAAGTGAGTTCAACTTTTGAAAAGAGCTCAGTTGGTAGATTGCAATTTCAGAAAATCATTCATGCTTCAAGTTAAACAAAGAATGAAGTTTAACCAACAAAGAAGGAAACTAGCTCAATCTTTGAAGAATGCTCAGTTGATAAATGACAAGTGTGAAAAATCATTCTTGTTTAAAAAAAAAATTGTTTTTGTGGGTATGAAACAAAATTTGGATATCACCGAAGATTTGTTGTAAATAATATTTTTTAATATTCTGTGTAAACAATGTATTTAAAAAAAAATATTCACCTTGATTTTCTTTATCACTGAAGTGATAGTTAATTTAAAACCTCGATTTTATAGTAAAATCAATGTGGTTAGTAAGCATATTTTACTTTTAAAACACTCGTTAAACATATTTTATCCTAATACTAAATTATATGAAGCCACACTAAAGAGAGGAAATATTCACCACCGTCCATTTCTATCATGAGTTGCTATTACAGATTTTACAATGTATTTTTAATATTTTTTTATAAATAGTGTAATTAAAAAACAGCTTATCCACCTTGGTTTTCTTCTTGGACGAGGAGACATTTTACTATTCCTCCTTAAACAAATGTTTGTCGTCCATTTAATGTTTATCAATGCTCCGGAATTTACCATCAGTAATCCGCATAAAACCTAAGGAATATCCCTTATAAAAGCATGCCGAATATTGAAAATCTAACCTAAATGAAACATGAAGCGCTTAAAACATAAAGTCGTTTGGGAAAGTTCTCTAAGATGGATTGTAAGAGTAGAAAACTACTTAGGTTTAAGGTTCGTTTTCTTAAATATTTATTTATCTAACCCTTATTTTATTTTGCTTCAGAATAAAATGCATGCAAGATTCGAAGAGACAAACCTTGCACCCAACATTTTATCTTCTGCAAGACTCAATGATTCGATGATCTAAGATCTAGATCTTCAGGAAATTTAATTTTTACCTTGTTCTCTAGGGAATTTGACTTTTATTTTAAACAATGTAATATTTTGGGTAAACAATATAATATTCTGGGTAAACAATGTGTTGCGGTGAGAATTATGATACCAACCTATTGGATTAACTTGAATCTTAATTCTTAAAATTCACAACCGGACTTTGATTTATCCAAAGAAAAGGTTAAAGAAAGAAAAAACCCTTTTGCGCGATGTAACAACAACACTAAAAGATTCGGAGATCGGGGGTTGGTTATGCCTAGGGTAGGTATTTCACATCCTAAACATCTGTAGTACTCTACAAGAACCTTTTGTACATCTGTATGCTATACTTGCTAAAAGTTTGCTATGGTTTGGGATTAGGGTAAAGTTGTAGGTAAAGACCTAAGGATAGTTTCTAAGTTTACTCGCAAAGATATCGCATCCTCTGCCTACGTATCCTAACTAGGATAGAATCAGAGCAATCGTAGTTCACTTTACTAGGGATAAAGAACTCTTGATTATGATCAAGGTTCAAAGGGGAACAAATATAACACTGCTTGTGTAGAGTTTAATAAAACTTCTTTTAAATCCTGCAACAAAATCAACGCAACAACAGACGCACGAGGAAGGAAGAAGTAGAGAATTCAATAACAACAGCGAGGAAGAAGAAACATAAAGCAGACTCGGAGCATTTTCTTCATACTTGAATCGTCGCCACGTTGCCGTTATCTCCACCATGGAGCATCGCATCAAGTCAGAACCTCTTTCTTGACGTTGTCGCACGAATGCAGTATTCTCGATCTTGATTTCACGTTGTAATCTTGATTTCAATTTGATGTTTGTTTGTTGCTTTATGGTTTTCTTTTTCGATTTCCCTTAATTTATGGTGTTTGATTTCTGCGACGAGTGTGTGAAGGGGAGAATGAGGAGACTAGCAGAACGGAGGGCGAATCTTGGGAAAAAGAGACGACGGTTGAGGGATGGCGTGGCATGATAGCATTGAGGGAGATGGAGTTGTAGAAGAAGAGCGTAGATGGAAACGGCAGATGATGAGAGAGAGTGAAGAAGACGTTCTGCCTTGTAATAGTTTTTAGGTTTTTTTTAGTTTAACTTGGGCCGGGTTTTTTTTGTAAACCCACATAAATGCTTGATGTATCCCCCACCCCCTTTTTCTTTAAATTCAATTGTCCCCTTGTTTCATCAGGTTGGGCTTTTAAGCCCACGTTTCTTTTTAACACGCACCGCTCAGTTTACTTTCCCTCACCCCTTTTTTTTGCTTCTTCGTGGACAAAGGTCTTTGGGCCTAGGATAGAAGGAAGACCCATCGTCCTGTTTTTTACACTCTCAGATTATTGTTGGCCCCAAGGCCATTTTGATTTAGTTATTTTTGTTATTAGATTTTATTTTTGAATTTAATTAATTGCATTTTAATTTTAATTAGGATTTGATTTGTATTATACTTTATTTTGATTTTTATTAATTTTTTTGATTAATTGGTTTAGATAATTATTTTTGTTTACCTAGATTTTAGATAATTGATTATTTGTTTTAGTTAATCGATTTTGATTAATTGTTTTGATTTATTAATTAGATGTTAATTTTGATTTTTAATTCTATTTTCTTTTAGATTGATTTTTAATTTTATATTTGTTTAGATTAATTTTTTTAATTCTATTATTAATTAGATTTTTTATTTTTGATTTTAATTTATTTAGAATTAGATTGTAGTTTTTAGAATTTAATTTTGAATTAATTTAGGATTAACTTTTTATTATAATTTAGTTTTGAATTAATTAAACCTTGATTTTAATTTTGACCTAAATAAACTTTGTTTTTTGATTTTGATTTGAATTTATTTTTGAACTAACCTTGTTAATTTTGACTAATTTTGTTCTTAATTTGGTTTTAGTTTCGATTAATTCTTGAGTGCGTTTGTGGATAGTTCTTTGACGACACTTGTATATATTTTCTTTGATGACTGATGTGACTTTGTTCTTGAATATTTGCTTGAGTTTCGATACTTGATGTTGTTTGTGATTGCGATGCTTCATGTTTACCTATTGATTACCTCTATATTCACATGATTCCTTAGGATTCCTAGCTCTATTTAATTTCTGATTAAGTTAGAGGTAGGAGAGACATTAGGCTCTCAATCCAAGCATGACAACATTAGGTAGACTTCCCTCTTAATCCTGGCCTAAGAGCCATATTGTATGATAACAGTTAGGATTCAGTTTCCCCTAGACCTTATGGGCGTCTCTCTCTCTTCTTTCTCAAAACAAAAATCAAAACACTTAATGAATACGATGAGTATTGTGCGCCACGAGTCTTAAGTACATGTGAAATGATGAGTGAGGGTCTCTCCTTACTTGTCTAGAGTGTTTAGCGTATGCCCTGTGGGCGATATGCGACACATTCACTCCTATGTTATAATCTTTAGTGCGATGCACATCTCAAACAAAGTCAATTCACTTCTATTAAGGCGTTTCAGTCCCAAAATCTTTTCTCTCGCCCCCCGTGCGATCGATATCCCATTTTCCTGTAATCGCGTGAACCACGGGTGCTCTGATTCCTTATTCCCTAATGATGATACGTAGGCATGAGGATTCCTATTTTTGGTGAGCATGCTAACAACTAATTTACCTTTTCTCTCGCCCCAGTGTGATTGAGACCTTCCCACTAACAACTAACTTACCTTTTCTCTCGCCCCAGTGCGATTGAGACCAACATGTTATTTAAACCTTTTCTCTCGCCTCAGTGCGATCGAGACCTTTGCCTCGTAGTTACCCGAACTACGTTTGCTCTGATTTCTTATACCAAATAAGGATACATAGGTGCAAGACGATGATGTCTTGGCAAGCAACCTTCCCCCCATCACCCATAGTTTTTATAACTATGTTGACTCTGACTTTTTCATTGCACGAGGAAATACGTAGGCATAGGGCGGCGATATCCTATCAAGTCTCTTTCTTTTTTCCTTTGTTCT